TTGGATAACTGTGGAAATTATAGAGCTAATACATATACTACTCTTCCACAAGATCTGTTAACTGCCTCAAAGTGACGGGGGGGGGGTGACCCTGGACGGGACAGGTGAAGTATGTCTGGAGTTCTGAACTCCTGGTACCCAAGGCCTGTCCCACTATGTCCAGCTAACAATCGTATTCCTACCTACATCAGATGTCCCATCAACAGGAAACGCATCTAAATACTCCAATGAAATCTGCTCCTCTCCACCACCACTACTACTACTACATCTTCATGAGCTGGTAGACGAATCCCTTCCCCAGCAACTCCTCGAGGCATTCATATAGTGCACGGGATAGAAGTCCGCGCACCATTCACAGACATAGCAGCATTGGTCGAACGATGCTGTTAATGATCTCGCTTTGTTCAACGTCTGCTGTTGCCTGGTGTTCCTGACGAGGGTCACGAACTTTCTCGTGGTCCTTCGAAGCTGTTCAGATGGTTTTGGAGAGCTAGCGTCCGGCCTCACAATTTGGGCCCGCTGACTTTTAGGGTCAAACCGTTTTCTTTCTTTTTTTTCGGTCTACAGGTTGGAAAGGTTCGGTGTTATTATCATATTCCGCGGCCACAACTTGCTTCGCCCAATTTTCTCTTTTTCCCCCCGCGGCCGGATTTACATATCCGCCGTTTTTCCCGAACGAATTTGCGTCGCTCACATCTGAATTCGAACGATTTTCGTCGAATCTTTTATCGTCGTAAAATCGACTTCCATTTCAGCCTCCTCGATGGGAATCATACCATCGTATTGATCTTTGTCCTGGCTCTCCGCCAATACCGCAAAGGGGTTGGAAAATTCAATCATATTTATTCAATTATAAAAATAATTAAAATCCATTCTTTTTTTTTTTTGGGTTAAAAAAAAAGAATTTTAAACAACACACCAGGCCCGCGGGGCGAGCAGGAGCGCGCGCGCGCATGCATCCGCGTTGTTCGAGAGAGAATCTATAAAAAATGTATATATATGTAGTAATGCAGTTGTCGTTGTTGCTGTAGGATGAATGCAGTGTGGCATGTTGGTTTGCAGTCGTGGTGGCCACAATGATTAGAGTGGTTTCAGGCGTGATTGGGATTACACAAAAGGACGAGGCATGTTGGATGGCACCATAGAAATGGCGAGAGAGTAAGTGTAGCCGACACCGGTCAGGGGAGAACTGTCTAGAGGGGTCTGTAAGCATTGTGTCTCAAAGCCGACTAATCTGTTTGAGTAAGAAAGGGCACACCTAGGAACCTGACTTGTTTTTCGGACCTGTTTCCTCCTTCTGGCGTCGACTGTCACTCACTCGAAATTTTATTTGTCACTTTGGCAATTACATTATAACTACAATATATTACAACATATATATATTATGCTTCGCTCTGTTTAATATACGACGTAATTCAACCTTTTCTTTGTCGAAGTTTTGAGGGCTGAATAAAAATATAGGAAAAGTAATTGTATAAATAGAAAAAAGGTGTTGATATTAGAAATAAAAGAGACATATATCCGCGCACACATGAGCATTTTTATATTGTAGAGCGCCATCTAGTGGAACAAAAATAAACTTGGCGCCAGTGTTCCTAGCGGGAAATCGCGCTTTGTTGTTATAGTTGAATAAAATCTATAATGATATCACAAATGTTCAAAATTTATTTCTATAGACCTCTTATCCTTCAATGAATAAAGAGGAAGGGTATGGCTCACCAGTGGTGAACCCTCTCAGTGGTATCGCCGTTTTAATCACCAGGCTGCTTCACTATTGTATTGGGTTGAATTTTTTATATAGGAATGCCATTGAATACAGAAATTGGTGTTTTAAACGGCCTATGTAATATGTCCAAGGACTGTAAAAATATATATACAAATTAGAGATACACCAATACCTCGCTTTGCGTCGTTACATTTTGAGTTTTTTTCGAAGTTGCGTCGCTGCTTAATTTTTACTGATTTTCACTGTGCGTCGTTAGATTTTCGAAGTTGCGTTGTTTTGGATTCGAGTCTTTAATTTTTTTTTCCTAAAATATGGCAACACCTTTGTTTTTGATTGCGCCTTCACATATTTTCACTTTGCGTCGTTTCAATTTGCGTCGTGTTTTTTTGGAACGTAACCCCGACGCAAAGCGAAGTATGGGTGTATAATGCATCGAGCAATACTCTTTCACAAAATCTTAACGATAGAGGGCGCAAAGTAACTAATAATATTTTATAACGCATGGTATTCTTTACGCGACTAAAGTTATCCAGATTTTTTCACATAAAAACTTCTGAATTACCTTAGAAGGCCAATTTGATTTTTCTTCCATATATATTCAATCTACCCCAGTTCCAAATAACTTTATTAGGTGCCGCTCAAAAAGAGCAACCTAGATCATCATATTTACTGTGTGGGATGTACAGGGTTTGTTCATTTACAATGAACTTTGGGGATATTGTTCTTGATAAGGTTTTGTTTGGCTTGTTTGATATTCAAAGTGGGTTTATTTTTCCTTTTTTTTCCACTTTTCGTCATTCTGGCTTAATTGATGGAGAATTTGTCTAGGTTTTAAATTTCTTATTTTCTTTTTCCGCATTTGTAGTGTGTGGCTTCCTTGAAGGTGGAGTTTTCTAATTTTTCGGATTTTTCGTAGAATTTAAATGATTGTCTAATAATGTAGTCATTGATGTTTTCGATATTTAGATCGTTCCTGAGGATTGTGTAATGAACGAACCAGGTGGAGGCATGGTTTTTCTGATCATTTTATTTTAAAGACTTCTAACTTTTTAAGGATGGTCTTATGTGCTGCCATAAAAATGGGTTGGCCGTATATAAGTATTGGTCTTATTATACTATTTTATTGGAATATATTAGTTAAGACTTTGTATTTTGACTTTAGATTGATGTTTTGTAAACTCAGAAATCATTTGGCTAAAAAAAAAAAATTTTCAGAGAGAGCGAGATATATTTTGAATTAACGATTAAAAATTAAACAAATTATTAATAAATAAATATATCTACTTATATATTTGCCTTATTCTGTCTGTTTGTCTGAAGCTCACGGATGGGATTTTTCATAACCATCGGTGGTTCAGTGGTAGAATGCTCGCCTGCCACGCGGGCGGCCCGGGTTCGATTCCCGGCCGATGCATTTTTTTTTTTTTTTACAATTTTTAAAACTCATTTATATATTATACTAGCGGATGTGTACCCGGCATCGCCCGGGTTTTATCCGAGTGAAAGTTTGCCTAACGAATATTATATATTATGAAGTATAATAAACAATGCTAAAGATTAGTTTTAATTATTAATCAAGATTGTGTGTGAATATGTGAGAAAGATGTAATATCGTTGTTGTTTTCTTGGCCGACTGTTTTACATATGGTGTTATCTTAAAATTGCTTGTTTTGAATATTTTTTTAGATTGAGTTGAATGAATTGCTGAATTTTTTTTTGTATTTATATATAAATAAAATTAACTCTGTTGAATTTTTTGTATTTTATCGATAACAGCAAAGTTATGTATTTTTAAGTTAGGAAAAATATTTTGATGTTAAGCAAAACCTGCTCCATCTCGTTTTACATAAATGTTGAAAATTTGGTCGAAATTGATGCATTGTAACGAAAGTTTTTAGCGAACACCACTTATGAAATTTCCATTTATATAGAAGATACTAGCGGATGCGTACCCGGCTTCGCCCGGGTTTTATCCGAGTGAAAGTTTGCCAAACGAATATTATATATTATGAAGTATAATAAACAATGCTAAAGATTAGTTTTAATTATTAATCAAGATTGTGTGTGAATATGTGAGAAAGATGTAATATCCTTGTTGTTTTCTTGGCCGACTGTTTTACATATGGTGTTATCTTGAAATTGCTTGTTTTGAATATTTTTTTAGATTGAGTTGAATGAATTGCTGAATTTTTTTTGTATTTATATATAAATAAAATTAACTCTGTTGAATTTTTTTTGTATTTTATCGATAACAGCAAAGTTATGTTTTTTAAAGTTAGGAAAAATATTTTGATGTTAAGCAAAACCTGCTCCATCTCGTTTTACATAAATGTTGAAAATTTGGTCGAAATTGATGCATTGTAACGAAAGTTTTTAGCGAACACCACTTATGAAATTTCCATTTATATAGAAGACTAGCGGATGTGCCCGGCTTTGCCCGGGTTTTTACCCGAGTAAAGGTTTGTCTAACGAACATTTGTTAAAACAATTCTCTATAAACTTATTTAAAAAAGAAGATATATTTTGATAATTTGAAACTTGTAAATTTGAATCTCTCGATAAAGTGAACATTTTTTCCCGGTCCCTGTGTGCCGTGTCATTCTGAATTTTGTCTTTCCTAATTTTCTACATTACAAAATCATCGTTTTATCTAGTGAACATTTTTTTCCGGTCCCTTGAAAAATACTCGATAAGTTGAATAAAATCAATATTAATTGGTTCCCTCGGTAATTGGAAGTTAAAGGAATAGTATCTTCGCCTTGGAATTGTATCATTATTCTTGTCTCAAATAAATTGCAGTGTCATCCTGAGATAATCTTACTTTTGATAAATAATATTTAAGATTTTATTATATATATTATATATTATATTATATATATATTACACGTTATTTGTTTTCTTGGCCGACTGTTTTACATATGGTGTTATCTTAAAATTGCTTGTTTTGAATATTTTTTTAGATTGAGATTATTAGCTAGTATGTAAAAAAATTAACTCTGTTGAAATTTAATTTTGTATTTATATATAAATAAAATTAACTCTGTTGATTTTTTTTTTTGTATTTAATCGATAACAGCGAAGTTACGCATGTTAATGTTAGGGAAAAATATTTTGATGTTAAGCAAAACCTGCTCCATCTCGTTTTACATAAATGTTGAAAATTTGGTTGAAATTGATGCATTGTAACGAAAGTTTTTAGTGATGTACACTTATGAAATTTGCATTTTATTAATATAGATAATATAAATGAGTTTTAAAAATTGTTAAAAAAAATTGCATTGGCCGGGAATCGAACCCTGGCCGCCCGCGTGGCAGGCGAGCATTCTACCACTGAACCACCGATGCTTTAAAAAAATCAAATTCATTTATCGTCGCGACCAGTGCTGCGCCCTAGCGGTAAAAGACTGGAACTAATGCTTTTTGGTTTTTATTTTTTAAAAAAAGCGCATTAACTTTTTTAGTTTTTTGAATAGCCTATATGTTAAACGAAATCTTCAGCTACCTACATGCGAAATTCCATAATGATTGAGTCAGTAGATTTTGCGTGATGCGATAACAAACATCGATTTCGCATTTCATTTTTATATATATAAGGACAAGAATGACATCCACGGCGCCAATTTATAATTGTAACGAATAGTATTTGAATAAAACCCTGGCGTTGCCCGGGTCATTCGTATATAATAATTGTATAAACGAATGCAAGACAAAATCACCGCGAATGTTTCTTTTTTTAAGGCAATTATCGTTATTTATCGTTAATTTTTGTTTCGATTTTATTGAAAAAAAAAACGATATGGTGCCTTTAAAAAATGATCTTTATTACTATGCAGTTTTCTATTTAGTCAATATACCTAAGTTCATGTTGCAAATGTAATTATCTCTATCGATTTAGTAGGTGAAATGCAAAAAAAAAATCGACATGATGAAATCTTTATGAAAATTCACATTTTTATTTTTATATTTTCAAGACACACACAGTTTGGGGCGGGACGTTTCACAAGAGAGACATCCACGGCGCCAATTTATAATTGTAACGAATAGTATTTTAATTAAAACATTTTAAAAACACACAGCTTGGAACGGGACGTTTCACAAGAGTGACATCCATGGCGCCAATTTATAATTGTAACGAATAGTATTTGAATTAAAACGTTTTTAAAATATATACGCACTCGGGTAAAACCCGGGCGTTGCCCGGGCCATTCGTCTAGTTTTATATATATAAAATTAAAGAATTTAAAAGCACGAATGTTTCTTTTATACACAATACAAACTCCTACTGCCCTTACTGCAATGAAAAAATATATTAGGATGGCTTGGCTCATCAGTGGTGAACCCTCCCAGCAGTTTCCACAATTTAATTAACCAGAACACTTCTCAGAGCTCTAATACTGTATTAAACGATTCTGCTTATATATGATGCACTGAGTTTGTATTGTGTATAAAAGAAACATTCGTGCTTTTAAATCCTTTCATTTTATATATATAGATGTAGCATTATTACTTTGTGTTAAAATATATATTTTAAAAAGATTTTATTAAAATATATGTAAACTAAAAAGTAAAAATAAATATTTTAGCTTCTGCCATTTATATATTAATTTTTTATGTGTAAAATAAAAGCGGCACATACATGCACAACGGTCGCGCCCTTCCTTTGACCACGACAGCTACGACATATATATATATATAAATAGGCCCATGATGACGGCTCACATCAGCATTTTTAGAATATGCCTAGTGTTTATTTTTAATATCACCACCTGACCTTTTTTCCCCCTTATATTCACATATAAGTTTAATTCGTTCCGCAACCTTGCTCGTATCTTGAATTACTCGTATCTCGAAGCAAATTTCCCCATACAAAACAATTGAACTACCATTAATCCGTTCCAACCTCCAAAATGTCACCCCAGTTATTTTTGTTACGTGGTTTTAAATAATAAAAACGTATTTATAAATATCAAATATTTATTGCACAAAAACAAAACAGAGAATGTAAAGAAATAAATTAGATATCCTCACTGGTCTTTGCCTTTTTCGCTACATTTTTCTCGCTTTCACCTGTAGGCCGTTTAGAAAAAAACATGTCCAAGGAGGTTTGTTTCTTCCTCCCTCTCAGAATGTTCCGGAAATGAGTTAGGCAAGTGTCATTAAAAAGGTCAGATGCACGACCTGTTGCAACTTTTTCTGGGTGTTTTTTTCCACGAACTGTGAAACTCTCTCCCACATTCCTAAGGTCTCCTTTATCTCACTTGTAGAAATAACCTCTTCCTCTGACTCCTCAAAACCAATTACTTGCATAACCTCAGTATGCTGCTGTGACTGTAACTCTTGTATCTCCTCAGTCGTCAGTTCCTGGGTGTGCGCGTGATGGCGCGACTGGGTGTTACTACCGAACCGAACTCGTATCTCGAATTTCGCTCGTAACTCAAAGCAAAAAATCACTTGCTCGTCGGCTCGTATCTCGAAAAACTCGTATGTTGGGGCGCTCGTATGTCGAGGTACCGCTGTATATGCATATCTCTTTCCTTTAAAGCGGCGGGGGCAATCATATATTGAATGAAGAGGTATATAAATTTAGTAAAAATAAAAACTCACAAATCCATTGTTTCATAATAAATCACATCAATTTCAAACTTTACGTTAATAATCCCCCGGCGCTTTTGTTTTGACTCATATAAATGTAATTTCTCAATGGCAAAAGCTCAAATTTTATTTTTTTTCTTTTAGTTCATTTTAACTAAAGATTTTTTAAATGTTTTTTAAAATTATAATATGTGTGTGTGCTTAGGTTATCTCAATTTATATATATATATTTATATTAATAAAATGGAAATTTCATAAGTGGACATCACTGAAAACTTTCGTTACAATGCATCAATTTCAACCAAATTTTCAACATTTATGTAAAACGAGATGGAGCAGGTTTTGCTTAACATCAAAATATATTTCCTAACATTAACATGCGTAACTTCGCTGTTATCGATTAAATACAAAAAAAAATCAACAGAGTTAATTTTATTTATATATAAATACAAAATTAAATTTCAACAGAGTTAATTTTTTTACATACTAGCTAATAATCTCAATCTAAAAAATATTCAAAACAAGCAATTTTAAGATAACACCATATGTAAAACAGTCGGCCAAGAAAACAACAACGATATTACCACTTTCTCACATATTCACACACAATCTTGATTAATAATTAAAACTAATCTTTAACATTCTTTATTATACTTCAACTTTTATTTCTACATCTACTTATATATTTGCCTTATTCTGTCTGTCTGTCTGTCTGTCTATCTGTCTGTCTGTCTGTCTGAAGCTCACGGATAGAATGCGCGCCTATTGGCCGCCAGCAAACACGTGACCTCCCTGCCCCCCTCTAGACAACCCTGTTATTCAAAAACCATACATCCAATCGCCATGAAATTCTGGGATATTATTAGGTATATCCCCGGAAAGGTTTTCGAAAAATAATTTCTTGAATATCTTGAATATCCTTAGAGTTATTTGCAGAATTGTAGATATAACTCACAAGCTGCGCCGCCAGACGGTGATGAAAGCAATGGGAGGTAACGCCATCTATGTTTGATTTTTTAAACTGTTTATATTTCTGAAGTATTTTTGTATTTTATATTTTTATATTTGTATTTTGTATTTTTGTATTTTTTATATTTTTTTGTATTTCTTCTTAATCCTTAAATTTTACTTTTGTACTTTCTATGCATAAAGATAATATTAAAAAATATATTATATAACATTTTTCTCTTTTTTACCCCCAAAAACACCAACAGGGATGGTATAGTTGCATAAATGATACAAGTTTTATAACAGGTTTAAATATGGTCAAATATAATTGGAAATTTTAGTATAATATGTAAATTAATAGATCACACGCTCTCTATTTATAACAATATCATCCCTGTTTGTTGAGAGGGGTGAGAAAACTTTGACACTGTGTATCAAATACAGTTAAACCTGTCTATAGCGCTCCCTCTTGGGACTCACCAAAATAGGGTGTTATAGAGAGGGGCTGCTATAGACAGGTTACTTTTAATGTAAATAGCATCGTAATACGTATTTAAAATCGGGCGCTATGACCACCCAAGTCAACGTTTTTAAAATATATTCGCACTCGGGTAAACCCCGGGCGTTGCCCGGGCCATTCGTCTAGTTTGTTTATAAATACCCAATTGTTTTATCATGTTTCTAATTTCGCCTAACAAATATACAAATTTATGGTGACCAACATATGCAAATTTTATCTTTGTTTTTATTTAAATTGATATCGTAAACATAACATCCATTGTAAACATTTTTCTGTTCACCTTCCGTGGTTTCTCTTTTCTCTGATAGTTTTTAGGTGTAGTATATTTTCTTATTACTAGACTACAAACATTCCCTCGAGAAAAACCTGGGCGAAGCCGGGTACATCCGCTAGTATATATATAATGGCGTTCTGCGCTTCATGGATATAAAATTAAATCAATTTTATTTTAACAATTTTTATATTAAAATTAATTTTTTAATTCAATCATTGATAAAAATATATTTTTTTTCATTATAAATATATTACTCCAATATTATTTCGTGTCCTCTAGGAATACCTACATATTTTTAATTTAGAATAATTTAGAATAAAAATAAAAAAATCATGTGGTCAGAGAAACTGAAAAAAGCAAGGTCATTCAGAAAGGGGGTATTGCTCCTCAAATCAGAGCTGGCCAAGTCTGAGCAAGTTCACATCCTGCTATCTCTCTATGTGGAAGGTCTAAAAGCTCAGGGCATCAGTAAGGTTGACACCATCTATTGCTATGGCCTAGGACCTGTGGACAAAAATATTGATCGACAAAATTCCATTGTCCAGTTTGCTTTTCTCTTGATAATGAAAGATCTGTTTTGTCCAGACCACGTTTACGTTTATGATCCACGCTTTAAAATCAAAGATAAAATCTACATTTCTAAATTTGATGTCATACCGTTGGAAAAAAATAGCTTTCTTCCTCCTCGAGGTACTTCAACTTTATTTTATCTTCCATTTTGTATAGATACCGTCTATGACAAGATTATCTGGGCCAATTGGAATTCAGGAATGTTGGAGAAAATAGCTTTTATTTGCCCTTATAGACGCTATACACGCTATAGAGAAGAGATAATTCGATTCCAACCAAACGATATATTAATTTCCTCCAGAAATTTCACATATGACATAGCTGAAATGGATCGCCAACTAGATGACAACGAGCTTTTAGGGTTGACATTGTATATGGGAATATGTTTTCTTCCTCCTGATGTGTTGCGAGCCCAAAAAAAATCGTTCTGGGTCAAAATGA